AGTATATCTAAACATAGAAAAGGGATAGTAAAAATAAGGGATAGAAGATTAAAAAACGGTTCACCATATAGGGCGTGTACCATGAATGGAGCTTGCAGGAAGTTGCTCTGGGTGAGTCAGAAAATGAGTGGGGGGGCGGATGTGAAGGCTGAGGGCATTACTGTACACCACTGTAGACTTTATCAACGCTAGACACTTAGGCTATACTAAATTTATTTAAAATACTTTTCTTTCAATAAATTAATCTTTGCATACCGTAACTTTACCTTATAAACAAAAAAATTAACTTAGACTCTTTGGTAATAATGCTTAGCTTAAAACATAGATTGTGCAGCTGTAGAAATATATTTCCTTTCCTTACATCCGTATTCTATAAGCCTTCTTTTATTTTTTTTTAATTTTTTTGCTTTTAAAAATATTTTGTTAAAAGCTAAGACAGAACGAGACACATTATCCTAGGCCTTCACAGAGCCAGGACCATCAATATCACTGTCTTCCACCTCCACATCTTGTCCCAGTGGAAGGTTTTCAGAGGCAATAACACACAGGGAGCTGTCATCTAGGATGACAATGCCTTCCTCTGGAATACGTCCTGAAGAACCTGCCTGATACTGTTTTACAGAAAACTTTTTAAAGAAGTAAGTAGGAATAAATTCTAAAATAACAATTAAAAGTAAATACACAAATCAGTAACACGGTCATTTATTATCAAGTATTCTATACTGTACATAATTGTATGTGTTATACTTTTATGTCATTGACAATTCAGGTTTGTTTACACCAGCATCACAACCATGTGAGTCACGCATTGCACTATGGTGTTAACATGGCTATGATGTCACTAAGCCACAGGAATTTATCAGATCCATTAAATCTTACAGGGCAACTGTTGCACATGCATCAGTCATTGACTGAAATGTCATTATGTGGCATAAGACTGTATACAGTTCTGGCAAAACCATAATCTCTTTTGAATATAATAATACACATGGGGAATACGTTAGTTTTATTTTTTTCTTACAGGTAGCATTTTTAGAGGCGTCTGTCATGCTACTCAAATCTTCACTTGATACTCTAGGCTTCTGTGATTCTAAACTTCCCTTCATCACCCTGTCAATTCCCCTTCCTTCTCTCCTCCATTGAATCCCTTGTTTCCGTGAGTATCACATTCTTCTCTTTCTTCAATTACTTCCTTATTTTTAGTGCTTCACATACACCAGTAACCTTTTCAAAATGGGTACCTAAAAATATTGTGATTCCATCCTAAAAAACAGTTGGTATTTGAGCCAGGTATAGAATTCTATCTTGGAAATTATCTTCCTTATGAAAGTTTTAGGAACTTCCCTATTTGTTACTTACTCTCAGAGTTACCATTGAGAAGCCCAAAGCTATCCTCATTCCTGTTTCTTTGTAGATGAATTCTATCTCCTTCCTAATTACTGAGTACTTTCAGAATATTTTTTAACCTGATATTCTGAAATTTCATGATTTGCCTAGTGTGTTCTCTTTTCGTTACTCATGCTGAGTTTTCAGTGTGCACTTTATTATTAAACTCATTTGTTCCCTTTTACCTCCACACCCATCTTCTATCTCCCTGCTATAAAATTATCATTAAAGTAAAATAAAAATTAAAAAAATATTACAATATATTTAAAACGTGCCTTTGATTTGAATGTATTTTCACAAACTGTATGTTTTGTGTGCATGTGTTTTATGTAATTGGTATCATATCACAGTGATTCTTTTCACTGAACTCTGTGTTCTTAAAATATCTTATGTCCCATGTGTACACAATATCTGTTGCTCTGTGCTACACAGGATGCTATAGTACATACTGCAACATACTAGCCACGGTATACATCCAACATTTTACCTATATAACTTCCAGTTATGGACACACAAGCTGCCTCCAGCTCCCCACTACCATGAAACCATGCTGGAAAGGACATCCTCGCACCTGTCTCAACACATCTTTTAATCTGGCGATGTGAGTCTTTTGGTTCTAGGAACATTTCGTGTATTTTTGTTAATTTCTTCCTTTCCATTTCTCTGTTCTTTTTATAGAACTCCTATTATAGTTGAATGTTGGATCAATCCTATTTTGCTGTTCTACTAGGTAATTTCATCAAATGTATATTCCAAACATTTATTATCTTTATTACATTCTCATATTTTTACATTATTTCATTTTTACATTTAATGTAAATTTACTTTGTAAAATGAATGTACATTTGACATTAATTCCAAGAGCCCTTAACCTCTGAATGTTTTTTAAATATTATTGGCCCATTATTCTGTAAGTGAAATGATTTCTCTTCTATCTCCGCAAATATAGTTTTTTAAAGTTGTCTTCTATTCTCTGCATTGTTCATATTCCCTCAATTTCCTTTTTTCTATTATTTTATTTCTTGCCCTTTCGTGTTGTGCATTTTCTTCAAATGCTGATGATCCCTAGCTGTGTGTTCATATTTAAGGGCATGGCACAAAAGCTCATTGGCAACTCTGTATGTATGCCTAGAGCTTTTGGAATGGTGAGTGTAATGGGATGACTGGGAGCGCGCCCCCCAAAAGATGTGCTCACATCCTAAGTCCTGGAACCTCTGAATGTCACTTTATTTGGAAAAATAATCTTTGCAGATATAATTAAGGATGCTCAGATAAAAGATCATCCTAGCTTATCATCATGGCCCTAAATCCAATGACAAGTGGCCTTACAAACAGCAAGGCAGAGGGAATGTGCACAGAGACACTGAATAAGAGCAATGTGATCACGGAGGCAGAAACCAAAGTGACATGCCTATAAGCCAAGGAGGGCCTGGGGCTGCCAGAAGCTGGAAGAGGAAGAAAATCCCATCTCCTTTAGAGCCCTTGGAGGGAGCACAGCTGGATTAGTCCATTTTCATGCTGCTGATAAAGACATACCCAAGACTGGGAAATTTACAAAATAAAGACATTTCATGGACTCACAGTTCCACATGGCTGGGGAGGCCTCACAATCATGACGGAAGGTGAAAGGCACGTCTCACATGACAGCAGACAGGAGAAGACAGCTTGTGCAGGGAAACTCCCCTTTATAAAATCATCAGGTCTCGTGGCAATCATGAGAACAACACAAGAAAGACCCACCCCCATGATTCAATTACCTCCCACTGGGTCTGTCCCACAACACCTGGTAACTGTGGGAACTACAATTCAAGATGAGATTTGGGTGGGGATACAGCCAAACCATATCAACAGCCCTGCCAGAGTTTGGACCACTACCTTCCAGAACTGCAAGTGAATAAAGTTTCTCTCACAGTTTTAAGCCACAGAGCTATGTAATTAGTTGCAGCAGCCATAGGTAATGAATACAGTGGGTCTCACCAAAGGTGATGAAGTGGGTATCTGTTTCTCTGGTCTTCCCCAGATATCAGTATAAATTTGTTCCTTCTCTTGACAGACAGCTTCCCCAAGGAGGAATCCTCTCCACTCCTACCAGCTTGCTATATTTTTAAGAGTCAAGCAGGAGAAGTGGGCTGGACTATGCACATTCAGTTTGTACTTTCATTTAGCTCTACGGTTTTCATCACAGCATATCGACACCAGCCTCAAGTGTACCTGACCGTACCATTCCAAGCTTCTCTGATTTCACATCTAGAGATTACGTCTCCTAACTTTTGCTAGGGTGGGGGTTGGGTGAAGCAGATATTTCTCAGAACTGCCTGGAGGTTGGAGTGGGGTGGAGCAGGGAGTCTAATGTTCCTTACAAGGACTTTCCACCACTCCTTCCATCTTGTTTTCAGCACCACATCTTCCCCAGCTCTCAGACCTACCTGGTGTCTAATTCCTGAGCCTTTCTAGGGCTCCTCAAGACAATCAGTTTGCTTTTTCACTGGTATCCCCCATTGTAAACAATTAAGCTTCAGCTTTCCTACCACTGTCAGTTGCCAACTTTTTCTACGTTCAAAAATTTTGTTGACATTGCTCATCTGTCATGCCTCTTGTTCTCTTTGTCCTTGTTCTCTTCTTAAAATTTATTTTCTCTGTTAGTGGAGTTTCAAGAAATGACCAACTTAGTTCAATCTGCCATGTTTAAACAGAAGCGCCAACTTATAAATTTTCATTTGAAGAACGTACGCCACTCTTACAAAAAGTTCAGTTTTGCTTAGAAAAATGTAAGAATCTCCAATATATATCCCCGTTTCAGCTATCCTAAGATGTTACATTATAATTTCTTCACACTCCGTGACAAGTCCCATTTTTTCATCTTTGCTTGTGGTGTGATGTTCCCCTTCCTGAAGTGTTCACTCCCATATAGTCTAAGAATCCTACTACATATTTCATAACCCAAGCAAAATCCCAATCCTTCATGTAACTATCCCTGATGACTTCAGACTACATAGATTTGTCCTTTCCCCAAAACAAATGACTATATCTTGTCTAAATCAATAAAAGGACTCCTATTCTGTTTCATGTGTTTGTATCATCTTCTTGGGAAAACATGTCTCTTGAGGAAAGAAACCACACCTTATACTTTGTGTGCTCCTGGCGATGCTTACCATGGTATTGTTCACCAAATAGTTGCAGATTTGTATAAATTAATTCAAGCCACAAATATGAGACTTGAAGCCTAATACACTACAAAGTAAGAAGCTTTTGAGGGAAAGCCTATGTCTAATTCAACTTTGTTTCCCTAAAAACCAGCACAGTGTTTGACATCCGTCTCTGACTGCTGAGTTACTGAATGAAAGCATGGATGGATAAATGAACTCTCACTAGATACCGTGTTCAGTGTTGTGTCTGACATCAAGACTTTTTAATTCCTAAGAATAATCAAGATTATTAGAATGATGGTTCACTACCACATTCCCAGCATCTAGAAAGCATTTGGCACGGAGGAACTGTTTGGTAAGTATCTTCTAAATGAAGGTTAAATGAATGAATATGCCATGAATCAGGAGGCATTAGTTTACAGTTAGCAGTCAGCAAATGAGTTAAGAAGAAAGAATCATCTGGCTCACCCGGAAAGCACGCCCAGGACTAGGTTGAGAACAAAGAAGGATCCAATGATGATGAGGGGGATGAAGTACAGCCAATTCCAGGTGGCTCCTAAGGCATCATTGGTCTGAAAGAAAGAAAAAAATGGTTCCTTAATACTTAAAAATGGTTCCATAATATTCTGATTTGGAATATTCTCACACGCTTGCTTAGCACACGAGAAGACAATACAGAAAGGTCTGATACTTTTCCAAGGTCACGCAAACAACCACTGGTTTTATAGCACTGAGTAATGTGCACATGAAATTGGGGAAATTCTCAAAAAGACAAAGGCAGGCTGTGCCCAATCTGTACCATGGAGGCTAGCAAAGGCCTGACAGGGTTGTTGGGAAGAAATTTTAGGGTCTTCTGCATCTTCCTCAGCCCTTGACCTGGGCTCCACTTGCTTTCTTCCACCATAGTACAATAGCACAGAGCTGGCCCAGACCTGGTCCCAGCAAGGCTCTGGCCAGAACAAGGAATAAACCTAGATTTGAAGGGTGATCACTTGCACTCTCTCTAATGCTAACACTCAGGGAATGAATAAATGGCTGCGAATCCATATTCTGGATTTTCGAACCATAATTGGACGCAAGACCCTTGCATGGACAGGGACTGAGGAAGAATTCTATCTCATTACTTTAAAAAGGAAGCAATTCTTAGCAGGATGTCTTATTAGAACCTTGAACTAGAGCTTGGGAGTATTTTGAGAAGTCCTCTAACAGTTGCACCACTCAACTAAGGGTTCTCAGTGTTCCCCTTGACGCCTCCTCCCCCAACAGCACCTCCAAGTCTTTCCAAATAGTGTTCCTGAATTGCATTTCACATATGCAGGGCTGGAAATCCCCTCAACCCCAATGCCACTTTTTCACACACAAACTTAAGACCCATTTGAAACTTAACAGATATTTTATCTCTATTTCACTGGAAAAAGAAGGCCAAAGTCAAATGCCATGCCTAAAACTCACATGCTAAACTAGTAAAATTAAGATCAGAACTCAATTTCTATGGCAAAATATTTCTTGTCCCTCTAATTTACTTTTTCCCCTCTCACTACTAAATTTTGAAAACATATTTTGATTCTTTGTCTTCATGCTTCCTGTGGACTTCTGTGACATTCTTGTTTTCTCCCAAATTATCTCATTTCTCTCTGCCTCCCACTCAAATATACCAGTCTGCAGAATACAGCCTCTTACCAATCGTGGACCTATCACTGTAGTCATCCAGTAAAAACAGCTGCTTTGACTTTTAAGTTCAGGGGCGCATGTGCAGGTTAGTTATATAGGAAACTCATGTCACAGGGGTCTGTTACACATATTATTTCATCACTCAGGTATTAAGCCTAGTACCCAATAGCTTCTTGATCCTCTTCCTTCTCCCATCCTTCACCCTCCAAAAGGCTCCAGTGTGCTGTTCCTCTCTCTGTGAACACGTGTTCTCATCATTTAGCCCCCACCTATAAGTAAGGACATGTAGTATTTGGTTTTCTATTCCTGTGTTGCTTTGCTAAAGATAATGGCCTCCAGCTCCATCCATGTTCCTGCAAAGAACACGTTCTCATTCTTTTTTATGGCTGTATAGTGTTCCACGTTGTATACGTACCACATTTTCTTTAACCATTCTGTCACTGACAGGCATTTAGGTTGATTCCATGTCTCTGCTATGAGGAATAGTGCTGCAATAAGCATATGCATGCACGTGCTTGTGTAACAGAATGATTTATATTCCTTTGGGCTGTAAGCAAACCCAGTAATGGAATTGCTGGGTTGAATGCTAGCTCTGTTTTACTAAAACAGCTTCTAAGGCAATCTCCTTTCACCAAACTTGTGTCTTTTGTTTTGCCCCTACACTATTTAGAGAGAGATAATTGCAGTTGAAGCAGAATACAAATGAAAAATAAACAAGAAAACACTTTCTGAATGGGAAGAAACAGATGCAGAAACCTGACAATTTCAGTGTGTAAGATGGAGCTCTGTGGTTCAATCAGGTCTGGTCAGTTAAATGCAATCAGGGAAGACATGGGCCAGACCTCAGAGGAAATTCTTCCTGCATATTAGTAGAAAGATACAGGAGAACTAGATGCCAAGAGCTGTTGAGGGTTTTAATGGAGGTAGGGAGCCGTTTTCTCTGGGATCGTTAAGACATGGACCTTCCCTATGAGCTGGAAAAATGAACTGCAATGATCTTCGCATAGCTAGCTCTGGGTTTATTCATGATTTTAAATCAATCCTTCCGTAAGGCTGGCTAGCTTTGATAGTTCACCCGTAGAGCTGCGGATTAACAGGGCTTATTCACTCTATGGCTTAGCCAGGGGCCAAACCCCTCCGCCACCCCCAACATTCTTTGGCAACAAAAACTGAGTCTACACCGAGCACCCAGATGGGACTTGGTTGCCCATAAACATTAGCAGGTATCAGCAACAGCAATGATGAAACTGTGGCTGTGAAGACATTTTTGTTCTCAAATAATTGAGCTATAGTTTGAGGGTGGTTCCGAGCAATTTCACTTGGGTGACTACTTGCAAGGGATGCTGTAAGGGGGATGTCCAAAATTACACTGTTCTCATTGCTAGAGATTTGAAAGAAGTTAATGTGTTTTGTGGAAAAGGGACTTCTGTAACCAAAAAAATCAGGGAAACACAGCAGATTATATTTTCTTCCGTGCCTGTCAGAAGATCCACACAAAAAAACAACATTATTTACCTTGTTTATTCTGTCATTTCATAATCAATTTTGACCATGGAATCCTCATTTTCAGAGAAAATCTAGTAACACATCAAGGAATCCGGTCTATGAAAGGTAGAAACTAAAGTGGGCCAGAATCTGGAATGAATCAAACACCAGTGACGAGCACTGTCTTTTAATTCAGCATTTTGTGAGTATGTTTTGGTTTTGCTTCAACCTATATTCAGGCAGAAACCTTAACTGTCTGCTCATTTCTGTATCTGGCACCTAATAAAGGGTTTGGCCCACATAGACAGTTGACTAATCAAAAAATGTCCACAATTCTAATAAGAAGATTCTCCTCTTAAAAATAACGCTGATACAATTCATTCTGATAGCCCCCTCTCAATCTGTAGAGATTTCTCTGAATTGCTGCAAACGTCACCCACCATGGTGTTGGGGCCTGCTGGACGAAAAAACGGGATGGGAACTAGAAGGAGAAATAGAACAGCTGAGAAGACACCAGCACCAGCAAGGCCCTGGGGATTCTGAAGATGACTGACAGCTTTAAAAAGTCTTCTGGAGAAAGCAGCTTGACAACTCCCCTAGATTATTCACACGCCTTTTAATAGGCTTGCCCCCGCCCCACCCCAACACCTTGCTCCTCTCCCTCCTGTTCCATCCTTCCTGGCCAGGTGGCCTCCACTCTCTGTGCGTGCCTGTCCATGAGCCAGTGACACACCCAGTAGGACAAAGGGACACACCTCAGCAGGAAGCAGGCAAGCGAAGAAACGCATGCTTCCTCCTTCAAAATGGCAAGGTTCTTTCTGATGCCAGTTAGGGCTTCAATCTCCTTCTGATTCATCGTTATTAAAACAAAATTGTCCAGTGTAGGAGAGACGACGAATCAAGTGTCCTTTGAGATTAAAAAAGCAGCAGCATTCGACAGCTCGAGGCAGCAAGTGCAAGTGCCCAGAAAGCACGTGAAGCGGGGGTCAGGGTGAAATTGCCAGTTCAACAGCGGAGTTGTGACTCTTTTCTCTCTTGTGGTACGCACGTGTCTGCCGCAGCAGGAGGTGCAAGAGAGAAGGGTTGCCTGTGAGAGGGAGAATCACTCATCCTCTCTACAGCATCCCCACTTCTATGACAGAGTGGCAGTTATCACAAGCTCCTTTCATGTAAGACTTGCACTCTATTTTCCCCAGTGACTGCCACTCTTCCTTCAGGAACACCGGACAGCCATGCTAAGTACTCCAATCAAGATCCTGACCCCAGAAGAACCTTCGCAGCCCAGATCTCTACTGTGGAGCCACTAAGGGAAACCAGGGCCCTCCCTGCAAAGAATGCTGCCCAGAGAATGCCAGCCCCTCCATCCCACGCCACTCATGGAACTCCTACCATAAGTCAGGCACCACAGAAGAGCACTTGTTTGGTCATTGTCCTCTTACACGGGGCACTGAGGCTCCTCCCATCTCCCAATATCCTCCCCACCCAGCCCTCCCCTAGACTGGCATGCTGGCTGCTCTCCATCTTTCTCACCTGCCGATCCCCTGAGTGACACACACACGCACACGTGCGCATGACGAGGGTGATGACAGAGAAAGCAGTTCGGGGGCGGTGGCCCACCTGCACAGGAGCGCTCAGCAGGTACCAGTCCTGACATTGTGGGAATGTATTCCTTTCGGAACCTGACTGATGGGGGTGGTAAGCTCACCCACTCCCTCCGTAAACAGGCACACATGGCAATTATCACATTAATCTCCACGGGGTTGGGGAAGATGCTGCAGGGTAGGGTGGGAGGAGCAGGATTGGAGAGAAAGATGGAGACAGAGCAAGCAGGAGGAGACAGGTCCCATGGTTCCCTGGAGCTGAGGCTATGGAGACAGGGCCCAGCCCCCATCCTCAGAGACAGGTCTCTAACAGGGTTCTCCGGTGCTCCATGGAAAGCATGCTCCCTGTCTGTGCACCCTCTTTACAGAGCAGCTCTGTGAATTGCCGATGACTTCGTGGGGGAGGCTCTAACCGGGGAGGCTGAACTGCCTGTGATTGAATGTGTTGGGGCTAGGAGTAAGGCAAATGCTGACTCCATGGTCCTTTCAGAAGCAAAGGGTCTCTGGGGAATACCTGCTCCACAGGCTGGCAGCGGCACCTGCTGGCTAGAGCAGGGCTGGCCTAGGCAGGGTTTCCTCTACTGCAGCACCGCCGGCCCCTGTGGACAAAAGTTCTGTTGGAGGGGGTGGGGGCATCCTGTGTGTGCCTCAGCAGATGCCTGGCCTCTACCCACGAGATGCCACTAGTACTTCCCCAGTTACAACAATCAAAACTTATGAAATGTCCTGGGGGGCAAGATGACTTCTAGTTAAGAACTGCCAGACTCAAGGCTCCATCTCAAGGAAAGATCTTTGGCTTCATTAATTATTAACTG